GGAGGAGGAGGAGGAGGAGCAGGAGGAGGAGGAGGAGGAGGGAGGGAGGGAGGGAGGCAGGGAGGGAGGGAGGGAGGGAGCGGAAAGGAAGATTCACTTGCGGGAAGGGCTGGATCGAGACGCACGGGTCAGCGACGGGTACGGGTTCCATGCAAAATCGGCGCGCTCCGTCGCCACGCGCCAGATCCACATGTCCGTAATCCATGTTAGCGTGCGCCCGATATGAGAACGAGCATCTTCTCAGCGCGCTGGGAAGACGTCAGGGGGGCAGGTTCAAGCACCCTACCCTCTGGAGAGAAAGTCGCGGGGGAAGCGGTCGAACCCCCCCGTCAAAGTCGGGCGGGAGGCGCTGCCCCAAAATATCTGTTGTGTTACTCTTCATGTTTATGCACGACGACGGCGACGACGACGTGTCCCGCCAGACTGCCCATGACGACGGCCCGCCCGCCCGACCGACTCGCCCACGACGGCGTCGACGTCGACGACGTGTCCCGCCCGCCCGACCGACACCTGGCGTTGGCTAACAAGTGGGGGAGAAGAAAATTATTCCAGAAAACATGGAAAGATATGGAGGATCCTGGGACTTGTGTATTTACTTGTGTGTCCCTGGGCCCCTCTCCTCTGGACCCCCCCTCCCCCGCGCGGCCCTCGTGCAGCGCGGCCCGTCGAGCACGGGAGCATCCGAAGCTGCTGGCCTACCTGGCCGACCAGACGGTGCGGGGGGAGCACAGCGCCTGGCTGGGGAAAGCGCCCGCCCTCAGCGCCAAGCGCGTGGCCGTCCGGGCGTCGGAGGCAGCTGGAGAGCAGAAACACGAGCACAGACAAGCGTTGAGTCGGGCCCGTCCCTCTACAGGAGGAGTATTCGAAAACAGTCCAAGAATAGTCAGGGGACGATGTTTCTATTATGTTTGACCATGTTTGAGCATTGCATGTGTTGACTACCTGTAATGCTTCGCCCAAAATCCGCCCGTATGGGGGACATGCCCGACCTGAGACAAGCGGTCCAGAATTTTTGCCTCGCGTGTCGCGCCACCGCTGTTGGCCCATCACCCTTCGGCGCGGCGCGGTGGGCACGTCGAGATTCCGAAGCGTTCGCGTCCCGAGCTTTGCCCAGCCTGCCGCCCAGCGGAGCATTGCAACATGCTGTGCCGGCATGCGGTGCGCAGCGTGCCGCGGGAGACGCCGAAACACGACGCGCCGAGGCAGAAGAGCTCGACCGTATACGCATGAATTGTCGGAGACCTGTGCGGATCTGTTTGGCTCGGCGCTGGACACCCCTCTCCCGTAGATGGACAGAAAACTGGAACCCTTGACTCTGCCCCCTCCCCTCCCCCCACATTCAAAGTTGTTCCCAGACATTCAAGAGCGCAGCCTTGAAAGGACGAAAAAAGGTGTCCCCCCGGGGCCTCCACCACTCTAGAGTCGGGGGCATGGGGGGGGGGAAGAACATGGTATCGACGACGAGGGGGTTCCACTTGTTTGCCCCCTTACCGTCCCCTTCCCTCGGCGGCGCCGCCGCGGGCGCGTTCCACACGCCAGGGTAGTGGTGCACGGAGGTGGTTCAGGCGCAGACTCCCAGAATCTGCGCGGACGTCCGACAGTGGATGTGCAAGTCGGTTGCGTGTGCGCTTCCAGGTAGACATGGCGAAGTTGCCTGAGAACGCGAAGGCGATTCTCGACAGGGATGGCCCCGAGGCCATGGCCAAGTGGGTGCGCGCACAGCAGCGGATCCTCCTCACAGACACCACCATGCGCGACGCCCACCAGAGCTTGTTGGCAACGCGGGTGCGAACCGTGGACATGCTGAACGTTGCCGACGAGACATCGAAGTTGTTGCATCAGGCCTTTTCAATAGAGAATTGGGGCGGCGCCACCTTTGACGTGGCTTTTCGCTTCAACCACGAAGACCCTTGGGAGCGACTGCGACTGTTGCGGGAGAGGATCCCAAATGTGTGTTTCCAGATGTTGCTTCGCGGGGCAAATGCAGTAGGCTACACGTCATACCCCGACAACGTGGTGCAGGAATTCGTCCGCCTTGCATGCAAGAACGGCATGGATATTTTCCGCATCTTCGATTGTTTCAATGACGTGGCGCAGATGCAAGTTGCCATCGACGCAGTGCGGAAGCATGGGAAGGTAGCAAATGTTGCCTTGTGCTTTACAGGCAACTTCTTAAGCCCAGAAGAGACCATCTACACGCTGGACTACTACACAAGGTTGGCCGAGCAGTGCGTCGATGCTGGAGCCCACATGCTCACCATCAAGGACATGGCGGGACTGTTGCGCCCTGCACATGCGGCTCCTCTGGTCGAAGCCATTCGCTCCGTCACCGACCTCCCGATCCACTTCCACACCCACAACACGTCTTCTGCACAGCTCGCGACACTGCACGCCATGGCCAACGCAGGGTGTGACATCGTGGATGGCTGCATGGCCTCGGTCGCGGACACGACGAGCCAGCCCTCGCTCAACGCGTTCTGTGCAACCATGGAGGGCCACGCTCGCGATCCGCAGATTGACTACAGGACCCTCGAGCCGCTCGACAACTACTGGATGCGCGTCCGCGAGTTTTACAGCATCTACGAGAGCGGCATGCTCGCAGGCTCTGCGAGCGTCTACCACCACCAGATCCCTGGAGGGCAGTACTCCAACCTGTTTGCGCAGTGCAAGGCGCTCGGCATCATGTCCCGGTGGGAGGAGTGCATCGAGATGTACCACGTCGTGAACAAGTTTTGCGGCGACATCGTGAAGGTCACGCCGTCATCCAAGGTGGTGGGGGACATTGCGCTCATGCTTGTCCTCAACAATGTCCAGCCAGCAGACCTGAACGACACGGAGAAATTAGCGAAGATCCGTTGGCCTGGCAGCGCCGTTGACATGGCGGAGGGCGGGCTGGGCACACCTCACCATGGTTTTCCACAGACGATGCTCGATGCCATCCTCAAGGGCAAGCCGCGGCTGCCAGGGCGACCTGGCGCCAGCATGAAGCCGGCCGACTTCGAACAGATGCGAGCAAAGTTGGCCAAGGACCTTGACCTTCCGCCTTCCTCTTTCAGCGACGAGGACATCATATCTGGAATCCTCTATCCAGCGGTCTGGAAGGCGTACAAGAAGCACGAAGCGAAGTACTCGGACAGCGTGCCATGGTTGCCAACTCCTGCCTTCACATACGGTATGGAGGTGGGAGAAGACATCGACGTTCCCGTCCCGGCTGGCCCTCTAAAGGTCCAGCTCGAGGCCGTTGGAGACCTCGATGCTCAGAAGGTGCGGACGCTGCAGTTCCTGGTGAACGACGAGAGGGTTTCGGTGATCGGCGGCGAGCAACGCGGGGGAAGTGAGGCCTTCTCAGAAGGCGGCAGAACTTCTCAGAAGCCCTCGCGCCTTCTGAGAATTTCCTGCGTCTTCGGGGAAGGCTTGGAAAGCTTCTCAGAAGGCCGGGGCACTTCCAAGCCTTCTGAGAAGGCCTTCTCCTTCTCACTTCCCCCGCGCACTCGCCGCCGAGGTGAGGCAGGAGGATCCCCACGGCAAGTCCGGCCCATCCCCGTCTCGTGCTGCACCCAGAGCTGCTCCCAAGCCTGCTGCCCCGGCGGGCTCGGCGAAGCCGCCAGCCGAGGCCGGCCCCCAGAGGGAGCGCGCCGTCATCGGCAAGCAGGAGCGCAGCGTGTGCGCTGAGCTGGGCTCCTCGGTGGTCAAGGTCCTGGTGAAGGATCGGCGGCGCGCGGAGGGGTGGCGCAGGGCGAGGATGGCAGCCTTCCCTGAGATCCTGACGCCGCGATTGCTTCGCAGCAGGCGGTTTTGGCTCGCTTCATGCCCTGGGCCCCTCGCGCGGATCGACCCGGCTCGGAAGACGCCGCAGAACGATTGGGTCCAGGGCTGCAGCCGCGATGTTTCTCGGATGTGACAGGTTGTTCGTGCCGGCGGATCTCTGGGTTTTCTGAGAAGAGTCCCCGGAAGCTCCCGATGCCTTCTACGAGGCCCCTGGAGGCCTTCGGACGGCCTCCAGGCTGCCCTACGGAGAGCCTCGGGGGAGGACGACAGCATCCCCAGGATGCCACTACGACAGCCGAGCTAGCCCAAGATGGCCGAAGAGCCTCCCAAGAGGCGGAATGTCCCGTAGAGACTCGAGCGGCCCGAAGCACTCCCTCGAGGGCCCCTGGAGGCCTTGGGACGACCTCCGGCACGCCCGAGAGGCCTCCAGAGACCCTCGGAGACCCCCTGGGCCTCTGGAGGGCTCCGGAGACACGCCTCGCCCCAGCCGCTCCTCGGCGCGCCCCCCACGAGGAGGGGGAGGAGGTCAAGGAAGGAGATCCTCTCTTGGTCCTCTCTGCGATGAAGCTGGAGACGGAGATCCTTGCGCCCGCCGGGGGCACCGTCCTCGGTATCAGGGTCGAGGCCGAGGACACGGTCGACGCCGGAGACGTGCTGATCGTAATGGACGCGGAGGTGTACGAGAGCGGCGATCGAAGAGCAAAAGCTGGCATGAATACGTACAACTGGTGCTCCGCGCGGATTCCTCGGATCGGCGCGGGGCCAGCTTGGCGGCGCCTCTGGCGCTTCCCCTGGCGCGCTCCGCGCGCCAGGGGAGGGGGGTCCAGCGCAGATCCAAGAAGTCCGCGCAGACCTCCAAAAGTACACCACGTTTATGCAGTTGCTCGTTCCCTCAGGCGAAGCTGCCTCGGCTGCGCAGGAGGTGGAGGTGCTGACAGAGGCCGCTCGCAACGTGGCCGCCCCTGGCATGGCCGCGGCAGACGGGTCGGACGTGTGGCTGGCAGGTGACGAGCTTGCCAAGCCGTGCATGGGCCGCTCCGTGGGACACCGGGAGCAAGACAGAATACACCCCCTCACATCGAAGGCCTAGAGGTTGACACCAACACCAATATCGGCTGTGTGCCTTCACCGAGGGAAGATGTTCCCGATCTCGCAGATGGTGATAAGATTCGGGCTTCCTAATGAAATGGCCAAAATATGACCACCAGCATCCACCTCCAGGATAATCTTCCCCAGGTGGAGGCAACCCCCTATTGTGGTGCTGGTGCTGATTTCCAAGCCGTACTGCTCTGCATAATTAAGTTTTCTCATAAAGCGAAGCCTGCATGACGATGGCCGCCATCACCATTGGAGGCGCCCTGCCCCTAGCCACTAGAGCGAGCCCGTCGGCCCCGAAGACTGGTCCACAGATGCAGGCAAGACGTGGACTTGGCTCGATTGCGGGGACTCTGGCAAGCCCGAGCCGCTGCGGAGTGCACTGCTCGAGCGCGGACCGCGCGCGCACTCTGCGTGGAATCGTGCGGCAGCCAAGGCCGCCCCGAGAACGGTATTCGAGCCGCCTCCTGGTACCCGAAACGCGGAAGGGGCGTCGGGGAGTCAGCGTGGCCCTTCAACATCGCGGGTGGCGCTTCGACGACGCTACCACAGCTCTGCGCGGCTGTCGCATTCTGCAGGCACGAGCAGCCAGCGCCGAGGCGAGGGGTGTGCCATCGAATGGGCGCGAGCGTGGCCGGTGCCGGGGCGAGGCGCCCTTGTTTGCATTCGGCCGCCAGGCTGTGTAATACCATCTCAGCGCTGCAAGTGACCGACAGGTATCGCCAAGGCCTTACGGCCGGTGCCGCCGACCCTGGAGGCCTCGGCCCTCGACGGAAATGGGAGGGAGAGGGCGGGCCAGGAGTCTGACCCAGGACCACCCCCTGGGACCCCCCCCCCGGCGGGACTCCTCCCCCGGGGCCATCAGGGGCAACGATAGGGGGTAATAGGCATAGGGGGGGATGCATCGACTTTCAATCGCCCATTGATCGCCGATTGGTGTCCGATAGCCCAGGAGGGTGCGGATTCACAGTCGGAGGCCGATCTATCGGCGATGTATCGCCGATTCCAGGTCGGTGCTTCCCCACCTGTCCCTATCCCTAGCGTTGCCCCTCAGGCCGCCAGACTGTGGAATACCGCTTGGGCGCTGCAAGTGGCCGACAGGTGTTCTGGCGACCTCACCCGAGCAAGCGGGGCCCCGTGGCTACAGTGATATCCAGGGTTATATCGGGCTCGCGGCAGGTGGGCACGGAGGCGCTCCCTCCTCCTCCTCCTCCTCCTCCTCCTCCTCCTCCTCCTCCTCCTCCTCCTCCTCCTCCTCCTCCTCCTCCTCCTCCTCCTACCTCCTCCTCCCTCCTCCCTCCTCCTCCTCCTCCTCCTCCTCCTCCTCCTCCTTCTCCTCCTCCTGAGTCTTTTCATGGCGTCGAAGACGTTTTGGGAAGCTCCGCACGTCGCCGAGGGGGGGGGGGGGGGCAGGCCCTTGGCTCACGCTCGAGGGCTGTAAGCATGCAGTCGGCGTCACTCCGACAGACTCATACTATATGTGCGTCGCCCCCCAGGGGCGACGCGCGCACCGAGAAATCTCATAGTATATGTGTCGCGGCGGGCGCTTTCTGGCCACACCGCTCGGGAAAGGACACACTACAAGATGGGCAAACTAAGGAGAACAGATCGTACTAGTATGTCTCTGTGCGTCCCATGCAGGGCGATGTTTGGGTCTGGTCAGCACAAACTCACACTTGGAATGGACCTCCCTCCGCGATGCCTTCCGGGGGCGGGGCCCAGGTCCTTCCGGAGTTTTTCCGCGCAGCCCATTGGCGGCCCAGGAAGGCTGACAAATTCCACATTTGCGGGGGGGCACCTATGGGTTCTGTGGGCCCCCAATAGAAGATACATTTCAAGGCGAGCATCTGCGACTTTCACGGATCCCCCAGCAGAATCCGCACTTCAAGGGAGCATCAGTGAAGTTCACCGGCCCCCACCGGAGTCCCCACTTGGGGGCCATCTGTGCATTTGCCAGGCCCAAAACATGATCCGCGCACGCTGAAGGAGCATCTGAGGATTTAGCCGCTCCCCAAAAGCAACCCACACTTCAAGCGAGCATCCGTGGAACTGGTAGAGCCCCCTCCACCATTCACATTTGAAAGTAACAGTTGTCAGTCTGGCTGACCACGAGCAGGGTACACACCTGAAAGAAGCGCTTGTGGATGTGACCGACCCCCAACGGAATCCACACTTCAAAAGCACGTAGGTAGGTTCTACCGACCTCCAACAGAATCCACACGTGGGAACCATCTGTGGATTCTACCGGCCCCCAAAAGAATTCACCAGTGCAGACCATTTGTACATTTCACCAGCCGTTGAAGGAGGGGGAGGTGGTGGTGGTAAACGGTGGCATGAAAGTCAATGCGAGCTCTCATCACAAATCTTACGGGAAAACGAGACGAGGGGTTGGAGGGAGGAGGGAGGCAGTGGAGTTAGAGGACGAGAAGTACGTGAAGGAGTGTTAAATTCAGAGGGAGAGGAGAACCCATGAGAGGAACGCCAGGTGAACGAGAGGGAATGAATTCAGGAGGTGCAGCGCGGCTGAATGAGAGGACAATCACCGAAGGAGTACAAGGAGGGATAAGGCAGGATGGATTGAATCTCTCCACCCCCTATCGGCCTAGGAGCTCGTTCGTTGTCATTAGTTACCGCAAATTCAGCTGTTGTGCAATGACGATGAGCCACGGACGATGGCCCGTTGTCGCGGCATCGCTTCACCAACGTCACCCACCGTCCTGTGGTTGGCCATTGTCATCGTCACCCCGCCGCCTGGTGTGCATGGTGCACCGCTGCCGGTATTCATAAAGGTTCCAAAAGGAAGTGTTTCGCAGACAACTACGGGCATATGGCATACAGCGCGGCCCGTCGAATATGTCTGGGATGAGTTTGGTGGGGCTGCACCCAGGGTAATTCTAATGTGAGATTTTCCTTTGGGCTGTGGACGAATGTTGGCTCCCCAGGACCGCCATCTAGATTGCTTTCCGAATTGGCCCACGGGCGCTTACATGGCAATGCGGGAACGGCACCCGCACACACAAAGTTTCTGGCTTCGTAGCCGCGCACCCAGCGACACGGCAAAGCCGGGCTAAAGAAGGCCGGTCTCGAACAGAACGCGCGCGCCCCGCGCCACACACGTATTGGCACACACACACACACACACATACATACACCCACACACACACACGCACACACACACATACACACACGCACACACAGAACACAAACGAACACCCATATTTTCTCCATCGCGCCGCTGCGTCACAAACGGAGATAAGCGTGTCGCATGCTGAAAGCTACATACACACATCCACCCACACACAAACAATTAGTGTTGTTGATTTCTCTCCTCGCTCTCTCTCTCTCTCTCTATCTCTCTATGTCCTTCTCTCTCCCTCTCTCTCTCACTCTCTATCCATCTCTCTCTCTCTCTCTCTTTCTACATATATCTATAAATATATCACATCGAGACGCCTCGAGTTGAAGGAAACGTCGGCGCGAAAATCCAGGAACACACATGCGCACAAATGTACATGTATACATCTGTATGTGTGTATGTATATATATATATATATGCTTGTGTCGGATTATGCCGGGGGAGGTCCCAGAATTGTTGCATCAGGTTCGCATGGGGGGTCGGGGGGGCTCCAAGAGGGTTCAGAAGGGACCCCCGACCCACCCAGAGGCTCCCAAGCTGGCCCAAGAGGCGCCCAGAGCGCCCCAGGTTGTTTGGAAGGTGGCTGAAGAGCGCACTGAGATGGCTTCCGGACGGACCACGAGCGCTCGAAGACAGCCCAAGGTTGCTCCTAGACGGCCACACAGGCATTCAAGACGGTCCAAGAGGCCGCCGAGAAGGCCCTCCAAGGGCAAAAATCAAGCATTTCCTATGGGAAAGCGTCTATTTCTTGGATATTGTAGTGGCCTCCGGCCAGTCCCGCCGATCTGGGGGCGCTCCCGATGCGATCTGGTTGGTGGAAGGGGGAGGTGGAGGAGTAGGTGGAGGATGAGGCGGAGGGAGGTGGAGGGAGGGATTGCCTCACGATGGCCCAAGACGGCCTAAGCAGCCCCCAAGAGGCTTCCAAGACTGCCCAGGAGGAAGAGGAGGAGGAGGAGGAGGAAAAGGAGGAGGTGGAGGAGGAGGAAGAGGAGGAGGAGGAGGAGGGAGGAGGAGGGAGCGGGAGGAGGAGAGAGGAGGTGGGAGGAGGAGGAGTGGGGCCTATTGGGGTCCCCCTGAGGCCTCCTGGGGGGCCTCTGAGAGGCCTCGTGGGCTTTCTTGGGAGCCTATTGCGCCGGAAGACTCGAAGTATTGGGTCGGGTTCCCTCTCTGGGGCCTCTGTTGGGGCCGTCTTGGGGCCCTCTCGGAGCGCCTTGGGTGCCTCCGAGGTAGTCCTGGAGCCCTCTTGGGCCGTCTTGGGGCCCTCTTGAGTAGCCTTGGGGCTCCTTGGGCTGTTTTGGGGCGCTCTTGGGAGCCTCTTTGGCCGTCTTGGTGCGATCTTGGGCCTCTTGGGCCGTCTTGGAGCGTCGGAAACCCGAAAAGGCGAGCATGTCAAAATCCGTCAAAAGCTATCGGGCAACAGACGAGTTTGGCCTCATGAGCCCCTCTTGGGGGTGCTGTTGGAGTGCTCTTGGGGCCTCTTGGGGGGCCTTTTGGGCTTTCTTCGGGCCTCTTGGGAACTCTTGGAGATGTCTTGGGCCGTCTTAGAGGCCTCTGAAAGGCCTCTTGGGCCGTCATGACGCCATCTTGGGCCGTCTTGGGTACATCTTGGGCCGTCTTCGAAATATCTTGCAGCAATATTGGGCTCTGGCATCCGGGGTGGCACCCTGTTGTGTTTCCCACGACCCGACCCCTCCCCGGAAAACGGAGCACAGCGCGCCCCCCCCCTCCCACCCCCACCCCCTTTACCCCGGCAGAGCCACCCCGGCACCCACCCCCCAGCAGAGCAGAAGCTCAGGAACTGAAGCTGAGGCCATATCTAAGGCCCTTTCAAACTCACACGCCCGATCGGCGGATTTGCTTTTCAGTCCTACCAGCGGCCGCGACGGCCCCAGAGGCTCCCAAAATGAGCCCCAGACGGCCCAAGAGGCCTCCAAAAGGGCCCCCAGTCGGCCTGAAGAGAGCTTCAAGCAGCACAAGAGAGCTCCAACACGGCCCAAGAGAGTACCTAAGAACCCCGAGGGGGCCACTGGAGGATCCCTACATGGTTAGAGGGGGCCCCCCGAGGGCCCCAAGCTTGGTCCAGGTCCCCATGACGGGCGACGAGGGACCCGGAACGGCCGAACTGGGGCTCCCAGAGGGTCCCCAAAAAAGGCTTACCACTCCCTGCAGACGGTCCAGGAGGCGGCTGAGAAGGCTCCCAGGTGTAAGAAACGGGCATTTCCAATTGAACAACTTTAATTTCTGTGATATTCGCTTCTTATGTTCCATCGGCGGCCACGTCGGACCCAAAGGCTCCTCAAATCGGCGCCACACGGTCCACGAGGCCCCCAAGAGGGCCCTAAGACAGCCTCAAGAGAGCGTCGAGCACCACAAGAGAGCTCAAAATCAGCCCGGGCCACCAGAGGATTCCTACATGGTCGGAGAGGGCCCCAGGAGGGCCCCAAGACGGGCTGAGCTCCCCACGACGAGCCAAGAGGGACCCGGAACGGCCGAGATGGGCCCTCAGACGGGCCAACAAAGGCCCCAAAGAATTCCAAAGGAAGACCCTGAGAGGCTGCAAATACTGCCACAGTGCTTCCAAAAAGGCTCCCAGCACGCGTTCCAGTAGGCACCCGTGTATTGGGTGCTTTGAGAGAAGAGAGGAGGAGGAGGAGGAGGAGGAGGAGGAGGAGGAGGAGGAGGAGGGAGGAAGAGGAGGAGGAGGAGGAGGAGGAGAGGAGGAGGAGGAGAGGAGGAGGAGGAGAGAGGAGGAGGACGAGGACGAGGAGGAGAGAGGAGGAGGAGAGGGAGGAGAGGAGGAGGAGGAGAGAGGAGGAGGTGAGGAGGAGGAGAGGAGGAAGGAAGAGGAGGGAGAGGAGGAGGAGGAGGAGGAGGATGGGGAGGGGGAGGAGGAGGAGGAGGAGGAGGAGGAGGAGGAGGAGAACAAAGAGGAGGAGGAGGAAGAAGAGGAGGAGGTGGGAGAGGAGGAGGAGGAGGAGGAGAAGGAGGAGGGGCGCCAGACCCGATGCAGGCCTGGGCGGTTTGCGCGTTTTCAATCGGCATCATTCTGGGGTGGCCGAACGAAACCGAAAACGGACCAGAAAACCCAAAACACATACACACACACACACACACACACACAAAAAAAAAACTAATATAATCTTGCGGTAGTCCACGGAATTCGATCTGAAAGTGTGGTTTTGGGTTGTTTTTTGTTTTTTGTTTTTTGGACAGCCTCACAATCGGAATCCTTTGGAAAGCGCCACAAAGGGATTACATTGGAAGGCCTCACAATCGGAATCCTTCGGAAAGCACAACGAAGGGAGTCGATCGGAAAGCCTCACAACAGGAATCCTTTGGAAAGCGCCACAGAGGGATTCTATGTGATAGCCTCACAGCAGGAATCCTCTGGAAAGCACAACAAAGGGATGTTATTGGAAAGCCTCACAGCAGGAATCCTGTGAAAACCACAACGAGGGGATTGTGTTGGAAAGCCTCACAACAGGAATCCTTTGGAAAGCGCCGCAAAGGGATTCTATGGGACAGCCTCACAGCAGGAATCCTTTGGAAAGCCCCACACAGGGATTGCATTGGAAAGCCTCACAACAGGAATCCTTTGGAAAGCACAGCGACGGGATCCGATTGGGAAGCCTCACAACATGAATTCTTTGGAAAACACCACAAAGGGATTCTTTGGAAAGCATCACAATCGGAATCCGTTGGATAGCGCCACAAAGGGGATCGACTGGAAAGCCTCACAATCAAAATCCTTTCGAAAGCGCCACAAAGGGATTCGATCGGAAAGCCTCATAATCGGAACCCTTTGGAAAGCACAACGAAAGGATTCGATTGGAAAGCCTCACAACAGGAATCCTTTGGAAAGCTCCACAAAGGGATTCGATTGAAAAGCCTTACAACAGGAATCTGTTGGAAAGCGCCACAAAGGGTTTCTATTGGAAAGCATCACAGCAGGAATCCTCTGGAAAGCACCGCAGGGAGATTCTATTGGAAAGCCTCACAACAGGAATCCGTTGGAAAGCGCCACAAAAGGATTCCATTGGAAAGCCTCACAATCGGAATCCTTTGGAAAGCGCCACAGAGGGTTTCCATTGGAAACCATCACGGTCGGAATCGTTTGGAAAGCGTCACGAAGGGATTCCATTCAAAGACCTCACAATTGGAATCCTCTGGAAAGCGCCACAAAGGGACCCCATTGGAAAGCCTCACAATTGGAATCCGCTGGAAAGCGACACAAAGGGATTCCACTGGAAGCCATCACAATCGGAATCTTTTGGAAAGAGCCACAAGGAAACCTCACAGCAAGAATGCTTTTGAAAGCACAAAGAACGGATTCGATCGGAAAGCCTCACAACAGGAATCCTTTGGAAAGCGCAACAAAGAGATTCGATTGGAAAGCCTCACAACAGGGATCTGTTGGAAAGAGCCACAAAGGGATTCCATTGGAAAGCGTCACAATCACCACAATCCTTTGGAAAGCGCCACAGAGGGCTTCCATTGGAAACCATCACAATCGGAATCGTTTGAAAAGCGCCACAAACGGATTCCAGTGGAAAGCATCACAATCGGAATCCTCTGGAAAGCGCCACAAAGGGATTCTCACAGCACGAAATCTTCTGGAAAGCACAACGAATGGATTCGATTGGAACGCCTCACAACAGGAATCCTTTGGAAAGCGCAACAAAGGGATTCGATTGAAAGGCCTCACAGCAGGGATCTTCTGGAAAGCACCACAAAGGGATTCCAGTGGAAAGCATCACAATCGGAATCCGCTGGAAAGCGCCACAAAGGGATTCTACTTGAAAGCCTCATAGCAGGAATCCTTTGGAAAGCACCACGAAGGGATTCGATTGGAAAGCCTCACAACAGGAATCCCTTGGAAAGCGCCACAAAGGGATTCGATCGGAAAGCCTCACAAACGGAATCCTTTGGAAAAGCCACGAAGCCACCGTTGCGTGCTTGTTTAAAACGGCCAAACCGCCCAGGCCTGCATTGTGTCTGCTTCGGGAGGAGGAGGAGGAGGAGGAGGAGGAGGAGGAGGAGGAGGAGGGGGGGTAAGACCAGGAGGACGACGAGGGGGAAGAAGGGGGAGAGGAGGAAGAAGAGGAGGAGGAGAAGGAGGTGAAGGAACAGGGATCCCTTTCAGGGAGACGCCGACGAGGAAAAGGATGAGTATAAGATGATGGGAAGAGGGAGAACGGGAAGAGGAGGAGGGCAAGGGGACTGCAGTGGACCGGGGATAATGACGGCGACGACGCTGATGATCATGACGATGATTATGCACGACCAACACGATGTTGATGATGCGGATGATGATGCTGAACAGTACGATGGCGATAATGGCGATGGCGATCACGATGCTAATGATAACGGTGATAATGATGATTGTTGTGATGGTGATGGTGAAGGTGACCATGACGATGAAGGTGACGGGGATGAGGATGACAATGATGACGATGATCACGACCCTAGCCAGAACTTGAGCGCGCGCGAAGCGCGCGCGATGGTTCCAGTAGATATATACACAGATACGACCGTTGGAAAACAACATGTTTGCGCGTTTGCTATTCCTCTCAGGATGCCTGACTCTTCCAGCGCTCAGGAAGGACGACTCGTTCCATGCGAGGGAGGTCCACAACAGGGAGCTGCTGAGCATCCTGAGCGAGCGGCTCGCGAGGGTCAGGCAGGGCGGCGGAGAGAAGGCCGTAAGCCAGCACAGGAAGCGGAACAAACAGCTGCCACGCGAAAGGATCGAGGCCATCATAGATCCTGGCACCGAATTCCTGGAGTTATCCGCGCTCGCTGCATACGAGATGTACGGCGGAAGTGTCTTTTCGGCCGGCGTCGTGACAGGCATCGGCGTCGTGCACGGGCAGGAGGTGCTCTTTGTTGCCAACGATGCCACCGTGAAGGGAGGGACGTACCATCCCATCACTGTCAAGAAGCACGTGCGAGCCCAAGCCATCGCTCGAGAGAACAGATTGCCTTGCGTTTACCTGGTTGACTCTGGCGGGGCTTTCTTGCCCCTTCAGGACGAGATTTTCCCCGACCAGGACCACTTTGGAAAGATCTTCTACAACCAGGCAATAACGGCGGCGGTGATGGTATTGGTGATAGGGTTGATGACGACAATGGTGATGACAATGGTGATGGTGATGATGGAAATAATGGTGGTGAACATGGTAGTGATAGTGATTATGACGAGCCAGGCGAACTTGTCTGCCATGGGCATCCCGCAGCTCTCGGCGGTCCTTGGCTCCTGCACGGCTGGCGGGGCATACCGGGCGGGAAAGAAAGACACACACATAGTTGAACGTTTTACGTATTCTAATGTTGGAGGTCGGGGGGTGGAGGTTGGGGGGAGGCAGATGTGGAACGGAGTCGCTCAAAGAGGAAACCTGTTTCAGTTTCAGTTCGTGTCGCGGGAGCTGGCGAGGCGAAACAGCGCGAGTTCTTGCACTAGTTGGGCCCAGGTCGCGCCAAAATGTGTTGGGGTCCGGCTGCTGGGGCATGCCCAAGGTTGTTCAGCAGCGGGGCACGACAAACCTACGGAGCTCGTGCGCGCAAAGAACGATCGAAAAGCATGGCGTTTATCTCTTCCATCGAAAAATCTGAAATGAATTGGCTGAAAAACTATTAGTTCTGCAATGGTTTTCGTAATTATATATATGTAGTTGCCCCGTGGCGTGTTTGGAGTTGCCCCGCGCTTGTCTTGCGGCTGTCCTGCGGCTGTCCCCGTGGCTGTCCCGTGGTTGCCCCGTGCTTGTCCCGTGCTTGTCCCGCGGTTGCCCCGTGGCTGCCCGCAGTTGTCCCGTGGTCGTCCCGCGGTTGTCCCGCGGTGGTCGTGTGGCTGTCCGGTGTTGCCTCGCGGTTGTCTCGTGTTTGTCCAGTGGTTGTCCCGGGGTTGTCCCGTGGTTGGGCCGCGGTTGGGCAGCGGTTGCCTTGTGGTTGTCCCTGGTCGTCTTGTGGTTGTCACCTGGTCACGGCCTTCCCCACGCAGCACTCGAGGATGGTGATCCTGGCGCGCCGTTGACGGCAACACCACTTCGCTCTCCCTCCAGGACTTCGCCCACGGCTCCTGTCCAAGGCGTACCTTTTCTTGTGCAAGCTCTTCGGCACCGCCTGTATTCCGCACCCTCCGGCCGCCTCAGGCCCCGCCCGCCCGCGCCCTGTCTCCCCAATTAGTGTTTCGCGCGCCCCGCCTAGCTCTTAACCGGAAGAGGCCCGCTCTCGACCCGCCGACCAAAAAAAGTCCTGTGGTTGTCCCGTGGTTCTCCCGTCGTGATCCCGCAGTTGTTTTGCGGTCGTCCCATATGTGTACATTTTGCGATATAGATAGAAGAATAGTGAGGTCGTTGGATAGAATGGTTGCGAGATCGAGATGTGGATCGGAGGTTGGGGGCGGCCAAAGTGAAACACGAGGTGCCCAAACCGGGACACCGTTTCGTTTCGTCGTGAGGCGCGTGCGGGCGAGGCGTAGCTGCGCGATGTCGTGCCCTGTATCCGATGGTTGTACTTATGTTTGTCCCGATGGTTGTCCCGATGGTTGTCCCGTTGGTTGTCCCGATGGTTGTCCCGATGGTTGTCCCGACTGTTGTCCCGATGGTTGTCCCGACTGTTGTCCCGATGGTTGTCCCCATGGTTGTCCCGATGGTTGTCACGGTACGTCCACGGCACGTCACCTCTGCTCCCATGCTAGAGCTCCGGCATGGCACCGCGCACGGCCCCTCGTAAGTTCGGGCACGGCACGCGGGCACGGCAGGGCGCGCGCACGGCAGGGCACACCATGGCACGGCACGGAACGGCATTCGGGCGACGTTTTGACCGCATTCTCGGGGTCCACAGACGCGCATTCGAATGCAAGCGGGACTCCCATCGCATCCGTGGCGTGGGGGAAACCATGATTTGGGGTGCGAGGGGGGGGGCTGGAGTGAAGCGTAGTCGCCCAACGGGGAAATCGGTTTAGGTTCCGGTTCGTGTCACGCGTGCGGGCGAGGCAAATTAAGCGCGAGTTCCTGCACGAGCTGGGCACGGGTCACGCCACAAAGAGTCGGTGTCCGGCTTCCGGGACGTGCTTGGGGTTGTCCCGCGGTTGATTTGTCGTTGTTGTGTGATTGTACTGTGGTGGGTTTTGGGTAGTCCCGCGGTTGTCTTGTGGTTTCCTGCGGTTGTCCCCTGATTGTCTTGTGATTGTCCCGTGGTTGTCCCGTGGTTGCTCCGTGGTTGTCCCGTGTTTGTCACATGGTTGCCCCGTTTTTGTCTTGTTGTTGTCCCATCGTTGTCCCGTCATTGTCTTGTGATTGCCCCGTGGTTGTCCCAGGGTGGTTCCTGGGTTATCCCGTGGTTGTCTTGTGGCGTGCCGCGTGGTTGTCCTGTGGATTGTACCATAAATGTCTCGTGTTGGTCCCGCCGTGGTTGTCCCGTGGTTGTACCACGGTTGTCCCGTGGTTGTCATGTGGTTGTCCCGCGTTTGTTCCGTCGTTGTCTCGTGGTTATCGACTTGTTGTCCGTGGTTGTCTCGTGGTTGTCGCGTGGTTGTCTCGTGATAGCCCCGCCTCTATCTATCTGTATATATATATATGTACAAGACTGCATTGGCGCTGCGCGCCATGCACCTTGGTCCTTTGAGTTCTGCACGCAAGCGGAATGCGTGCGTGAGTACATGCGCGCATGCATGTATGCACGCGCACGTGCATGCACGTTCCGTATAAAGGTCTAGGTGTAGACAATATAGTTACATTGTTGTATGTGTGTATACAACGTACACCTGTTCATGTAAGTTTATGTTAAGGCTATGAGCATGCATATGCAACTCGTACGGGGCATCGTCGGGCATCTTCGCTGCATGCCACGAGACCGTCAACGACTGGGTCACAATGTGAAATGTCATGGGAGCAAAATCAATGAATGTTGGCATTCGGAAACATCGTGGAGGGGTTTTCGGTGCCCTCGTGGGCCGTTTTGGCGCCTTCATGGGCCGTCCTGGGGCCTTCTTGGGCCGCCTTGGGGAGCTTGGGCCCGCTGGAGCCCCCGTTGGACCCATCTTGGGCACTTCCGGGGACCTCCCATGGCCCTTTTGGGTCTGTGCTGGGAGCTCTTGGGGGGCCTCTTGGTTCCATTATGGGCTGTCTTGGGGCTCTCGTGGGCGATCGTGGGGCCCGGCTCGGCCGTCCTGAAGCTTTCTTGGGGGCCTTTTGGGGCGTCTTGAGGCGATCTCGGGAGCTTTGAAACCGTCTTGAAAGCTAATGAAATCCGAAAGGCGAATATGCTAAAATTGCAAGTTTTACGAAGCGAATGGGACGATTTCTGTGGTTTGAAGGCCCCTTGGAAAGCTTTTTGGGGTGCCTTGCGGGTCTTTATGTTCGCATTGGGAAACATCGTGGGGTGTTTTCGGGGCCCTCGTGGGCCGTTTTGGCGCCTTCATGGGCCGTCCTGGGGCCTTTTTGGGGAGCTTGGGCCCGCTGGAGCCCCCTTTGGACCCATCTTGGGCACTTCCGGGAACCTCCCATGACCCTTTTGGGTCTGTGCTGGGAGCCCTTGGGGGGCCTCTTGGTTCCATTATGGGCTGTCTTGGGGCTCTCGTGGGCGATCGTGGGGCCCGGCTCGGCCGTCTTGAAGCTTTCTTGGGGGCCTTTTGGGGCGTCTTGAGGCGATCTCGGGGGCTTTGAAACCGTCTTGAAAGCTATGAAATCCGAAAGGCGAATATGCTAAAATTGTAAGTTTTACGAAGGGAATGGGACGATTTTTGTGTTTGAAGGCACCTTGGAAAGCTTTTTGGTATGCCTTGGGGGTCTTTATGTTGGTATTCGGAAACATCGTGGGGGAGTTTTCGGGGCCCTCGTGGGCCGTTTTGGCGCTTTCATGGGCCGTCCTGGGGCCTTCTTGGGCCGTCTTGGGGAACTTGGGCCCGCTGGAGCCCCCTTTGGACCCATCTTGGGCACTTCTGGGGACCTCCCATGGCCCTTTTGGGTCTGTGCTGGGAGCCTTTGGGGGGCCTCTTGGTTCCATTATGGGCTGTCTTGGGGCTCTCGTGGGCGATCGTGGGGCCCGGCTCGGCCGTCTTGAAGCTTTCTTGGGGGCCTTTTGGGGCGTCTGGAGGCGATCTCGGGGGCTTTGAAACCGTCTTGAAAGCTGATGAAATCCGAAAGGCGAATATGCTAAAATTGTAAGTTTTACCAAGCGAGTGGGACGATTTCTGCGTTTTGAAGGCCCCTTGGAAAGCTTTTTGGGGTGCCTTGGGGGTCTTTTGGGCCGTCCTGACGCAATTGGAGTCCCTCTTGGAGCGCTCTTGTGCTGTATGGGGCCTCCCTTGAGCCTTTCTGATGACCCCTCGGATCGCTCTGGGTCTGCTGGCAAGGCGTTTGTGGAGACCCGGAAGGCTGGGTGACCTTTTCCATGGACGTCTAAGGGAGCCCGGGGGTCCATTTGTTTTTTTTTTGGGGGGGGGATGGGTTTTCCTCCCCCCCCCCGGGCTTGTAAAAATATAGGAAGAGGAATATGTGCAGATCTAGGTACAGCTGTATAGATCTATAGCGCGATATGCCTATATATCTATATGTAAATATACATACGGTGGGGGCGTTCGTTAAGGAACGTGCCCAGGACGCCTCAGACCCTGGAGGGTTCCTTATCTGATGAGGGCGGCGATAATATCCATGGCCGATCCACGATTCGAGTTCCACCAGCTTCCAGACCTTGTATTCCTTATCTAAGGGTTCCTTATCCAATGCCCCCACCGTAGTACATACATACAGACATACGTGCATACATGCATGCATATATTCGTGCGTGTATGCATACATACAAACATACATGCATACATACACACATATATATATAAACATGTGTATAGATGCATGCATACATACACATACACATACACATACACGTACACGTACATACATACATACATACATGCATGCATACATACATACATACAAACATACAAACATGCATGCATACCGACATACATACATACATACATACATACACACATACACACATACACACATACATGCATACATACATACATGCATGCATGCATGCATGCATACATACATACTTACATGCATACATGCATACA